CGCATTAACCAAATGATCTCTAACATGATGCTAACATGATGCATAGTTCATTCTTTCGTCCTCTACCCTAGGTGGTCAACTCACTACCACCACATTTCCCCCTCTCGAAAATTTCAGACAGCGCATGAAATTCAGTCAGAGGTTCACAGTAAACAATTTAATCAAAGAATTTAAAAGTTTAAAATATCAGAGAGTTTTCTTTACTTGTACTTGATCCGGCTTATTAATCGCGAACATTGGTCTCCTTAGTTTCCTCCTCGGTGATGGTGACGGTGTATTTCCTGATGACGACGGAAAATCTCCCGGTAAAATTGGACACGTTTGTAGTTTTTCCTCCCCCGATTTCTCCTCTATGTTCTTGACTGAATGTTTCAGTGGGCTTCCAAAGAACTGTGTCTGCCGCTTTCTTCTGCCCGACGACCTTGAGTTGCTCGAGACCTGTGAGTCTTTATCTCCGTCACCGCCTTTTTTCTCTCTTCTTTTCTCTGGTCTCGTATTGTCTGCTGTTTTGGTTTCCTCCGATCTCTTTTACGCCACTCCTGAAGTTGTCCCTATCTTCGTATCCGTCTTTCATTCCTTACTCTGTGAAGTAATCTTCTTCTCCGCTTCTGTTACTTTACATTGCTGGCCTTCCTCTGAGTTGCTTTGTGTTTTATTTTTCTCTGTTATTGGTACTGAGGATTTTGGACAGTCATTTCTTTCTAAGACCTGGCTCGTACCCTGCACCTCCTTTGTTGAGATTGGCACTGCGGCAATTGGGCATTCTTGTGTCGTTTGCGCGTCTGGCTTATTTGCTACCGCCGGTACCACATGCACCTCGTGCTCTGGAGAAGTACTCGAGGACATAGTCAGGTCGATTATTCCACCGCTCGGAACTTCTCGTAGTACGTTTGGCGACGCTATGTATCTGGATGCTAGAGTTGGCGGATTCTTCTTTGCTATCTTCGTCAATGAGGAAAATAACTTCACCGTCTTGGCTTGCAGTCTGTCCAATGTCGCGAATGGCAACCCCTTGTTTTCTGCATCTGAGTTCTTTGTCGACAATGAAACCGGCGAAACATCTGGTCTTGGCAAGATGTGTACTGGTCTATTTGGTCTAGTTGAATTGCACTGGTGTAATGGCTTCCTCGGTGTGCTTGCGGCTGGTGTCTTTGTACCTAAATCTGAAGAGTATACTGACTTGAATTTCGGTTCAAGCGATATGTGGTTCTTTCTAATTACTTTCCCATTTTCAGCGATGTAAGTATTGTTAGTGATTTTAACAATCCTTCTCTGTCCTTTGCTTAGATAAGATATGTTTTCCTAGTTGGCCTAGCTGTCGTCAGCTCCCCAGTAGGTTCGCGTCAAGTATATTGTGAAGGCCTGTAGTGAAAGACTTCCTGTCTGAAGTTACTAGAGCTTCTTGTGTCCTCTTTTCTCCGACCTTGCTTGCCATCATATTGACCGTCACTGTTTCTTCAGTCTGTTTGCTCTGAAGTTTGCGAGCATTCGGGCGTAGTTCGTCTGATTTCTGTTTACGGTTGTGATTCTTTTCCTCTTCCTGCTCGTGGTTATCCACGAGCAGGAAGAGTTATATGTGGTTTAATAAACCCATAAAAGATCTCAGTTGTTTCAGAGATTTTGGCGGTTATAATGCAATAACTGCTTCTATCTTCGATTGTTTTGGCCTCACTCCTGTCTCATCAATGTCGAATCCCAGCCAGGTTCATTTGGTTTTTGAAAATTCGCATTTACTGAGTTTTAATGCGAATCCTTCTTTGTATAATCTTGACAGAACATTGTCAACTATTTCCTTATTTTCGTAACTGAGCCTTTTGATACTTTTAAAACGTCATCTTAAAATAGAAAATTTCTTGAATCCCTTCGATTGAGTTGTCCATTGCCTTCTGAAATTCATTCGGCTTGTCTGTTAGTCCATAAAATCCGGTTTAAAATCTGTATGTTCCGGTGAATTCCCAGCGTACTATGCTGAAATTACAGCGTTTGCCCTCTGATTTAGATGTGATTATTTGGGCTGCTGAATCAAGGATTTCTCGTAGATTTGGAATTTGAAACTTGTTTTTATAAATCTGTGAATTCATTGGTTTTGCGTCAATTGCTAATTTCACTGTCCCATCCTGTTTGCTGTTATGACTACTGGAGCTACAAATTTGTCACTTGTGCATTTGTCAAGTTTTACTATGTGGCCTTCTCTTATAAGTTTCTTTATTTCTGCTCTCACTTTTTGTATATGAATTGGCGCCCTTCTGCTTTTTTCCTGAATCGGTATTAGTAGTGATTTAAATAAAGTGAACACCTTGGGGTTCTTTGAGCGCCCCAATCTTTGAAATACGTCGTTGTGTTTTTTAACAAATGTGTTCTTCCAGAAAATTGATTCGGCTGATTCGTCTTCATGCTCTTCTGAGATAGTTTTTACTGAAATTTTTGGAGGTTTAAGTTGCGTTGTTACTATCCCTAGTTCTGGTTGGGTATCTAATCCTAATAGGCATCTGGTTCTATTCTCGGAAATTGAAAATTTTGCGCCTTCTAGTTTCCAACCATCTGAATAGATATCAATTTCTAGTATTCCGAAAAATTTTATGGGTTTACGGTTGTAGTCGACGTACGTTGTGGTTAACGGGTTGTTATCTAGGGATATAGTCTTTGTGTTTGGATCTTTTGCTAATAGTGTTCCTGCCGTGCGTTTATTGACAAAAGAGGCTGGACTTCCAGTGTCAAAAGTGGCGCTGAAAAATGAGCCTCTTGTTTTTAGCGTTGTTCTAAGGCACTTAGTTTTCCGGGTTGCAGAGTTGATTGCTTCTAAATTCTTGACCATTTCCATTTGTAGTGATGTTTCCAATCTCTTTAGGACTGAATAATTTCCTTCGCTGTCTGAACCATTGAAGTTGCAATCCTCTTCTTCGTCGGGTTCTGGTTGTTCGACATTGGCAACTTGCGTACTGTTACTGCATTTAGCGAAGTGTCCCTTTGTTCCACAACTTCTGCTCCTCTGACTTTGCATTTGGTGTTGTGTTCAGGTGTGAGTCTTCTCCCACATAAATAACACCGTTTGAATTGAAGGTTCGACTGGTCTTGTTGGTTCTTGGGTTTAAAATTTCTTTCCCTAGCGCTCTTTCATTCTGTTTTGAACGTTGTTTTTCGTTTGGATGGACATTAGTGGTTGTTGCTTATTCCGAAATTGATTAGATGAATCTATGAAGTTCATTGAATAACTTGCTGTAGACGGATTCTGCTTTTGGAGAATATTCGCTGTTATGTATCCCTCCTCCTGTAGCAACGCCGATTCGAGGGTGTCGTCTACTGTAGCTCCTGATCTGATGCAAAGTTCTCTTTGTATGTCAGAGAATCTCATTTTTGCGATGAATATGTCGCGGATAACTTCTTTTTCGATGTCCTCCGTCCATCCACTTTTTGAGGCTTGACCTGCTTGGTGAAGTTAAAACGATTCGAGGCTTTCTCTGTCCCCATGTGATGCGTTGTAAATTTGCATACTTTCAATGATGTAATTCTTCTCACGTCTGAATAATTGTTCACAGGCGTCGTGAAAGAATTTGAATTTTACTTAATTGAGATTGACGTGTGCGTGTTGTTGTAGGAATCTTTTCTTCCCTTCGTTTCCAAGGGCGAAGAATAGCCTCGGTTTTATCCGTGCATCTGCTTCGTGATAGTATACATTTGGAGTTATTTTGGGTCCCTTCTTTCATCGTTCTTTGTTTGCTTCGTTTGTTTTCCTGACTGCCGCTTTGTTTCTTGCGGTACTGTTTTCCGCTTCTTCCGTCGTTTGTGAAGTTGGAATCGGTTCAGGTTTTGGCGAAGGGTCGTCATGTACTGTTGCCGGGTCTGAAAGGAGAATATTCAGGTCACAGTTCTCCTTGAGTGATACAGCGAGAAAGAATTGACCTATCAACGCCTCCCAAGGATAAGGAGGTTTGGCTGACGGTTTACCCCAGAATGAAGGGACTCCTAGCAGTTCCGTCCTATCTTCTGAAGAAGAAACCGTTGGCTGCGCCATGGGATGTTCCCTAAATCTTATCTGAAAATTGAACTAATAATAGCAAAATTAAATAAACAAGTATTGATCATTGAATAGAAAGTAACTATAATCTTTCAATAGCTAACAAAGAGTGAGTCCTGGTTTTAACGCCACCAAGCTGTTAGATCAATAGACATGATTGGCAGGTCTCTAATTCGCATTAATCAAATGATCTCTAACATGATGCTAAAATGATGCATAGTTCATTCTTTCGTCCTCTATCCTAGGTGGTCAACTCACAACCACCACAACATGTAAACAGTATTGGAAAATTTTCTAACTGAAGTTGTACGAGACAGTTTTCACAGCATGTTTCTCGTTCATATAGCGATTTTTTGTTTTCATCTGTGTTAGCAATGAGATCAGGCCAGGCTGTTTGTTTCTCAAAAGATAAATTCGCTCTTTTCTGCGGAAAAAGAGCAGTAATTGGACGTTTTCGCTGATTTCTGGTGTTAATTTAAGTGCAATTGATGTCATTTTAAATCGCATTGATATCTGATTGGTTTTTCTATTTCCTTTCAATTATATTTATTTCTTTTGTCGTTCTAATGATATAGTCATCTCAATAAAATCTCTCTGACAGACAGCTTTTTCTTTCGTAGATAACTCATGAGATGGTTAGTTGAAAGACACATTCATTTCATTCATCATATTTTTTGTGGTAAAAGGTTAAAGAGCCAAAGACAACAATTTCCAGCCTAATTTACTTGGTGCAGAGTCTCTTTTGTGCAAAAACCTGCCATCCAGGGCAGTTGTTCAGACAAAAGTGCTGAGAGCATTAGAAAAAAAAATAAGCAAAGTTAGTAGATAATGGTACCAAAAGCGATTTCAACAAATAATGAACATCAAGTAAAAGCAAAAGTGGCGGCGCTTATTTAAGGAAAGCGGGTCAAAATGTGAAGATGTTGGTCCCTAGCTTAAGACCACATAAAGAAATAAGAGAGGGTTTACTTTGATTTTTTTCCAGTGAAATGCGAGACTCCTGAGGGCGAATATATCGGAGATGATCCCGAGAACATTTTGGAAGGGATGAGAGTGCGGAGTCTTGGTGTCACTCGTTTCATGTATCGCCGACCAGGAATTGGCTGGGTTTGCTTCAAGTGGTCATCTGGCAACACGGAATGGGAACAGCAAGGATCATGTCCTGGTCTAAACGAGTACTATTACTTGTGTCTCACAACTCAGGACAAAGGGATCGTGACAGCTATTAATAGAAAGTACAGAGAAGACGAGTTGGGAGAAGATGTCATGGTCTTTGGGGAGCCTAATTTGTGGGCGAGCAATGGGGACGCGGGCAATCTTTACGGGTTGCGACATCTGGGAAACGCTATTTTCCACACACTTTACGACTACAGAAAAGTCAGTCTGGTTGCTGACCACACACATCTGGATGACCTGGACAGTAAGACAAACTTTCATCTTTCTAGATTCTTAGCCAGCAAAAAATAGTAAATACAAGGAGGAAGGGTGTAAAAAGAAAAGACGGAGAAGAGCCATCACAGATAATAAATGAAAGAGTTACAAAAGCATAGCCGATTGAAGCAGGCGGGAACAGGATCGGGTTACCAAAAACGATCGGGAGGTCGGGTTCAGGCCCGTGGTACGGGTGCGGACGATGTTTTTGACCCCAGAATCGAAATAATTTCGCATGTTTTTTTTCTTTTTAACATTTTATTCATAAACACTTGAGTTTTGTTGTCGCAGATTTTCTGTGCTATTTATTTGAAAAAAGCTAAGAAAAAAATGAAAAAAGCTGCAAAGTTCACGAACTTTTATTTTTACCAACTGGAATTCCGGTGTTCCAAAAAAACTAATACAGAGTATAAATTCGAATTATGCAGAACTGCTACAGAGCAAAAATGAATATAACAGTACTGCAGCAATATTCCAGTTCTGCAACCAGTAGCAGATTTAGGGGCGGGGTAAGGAAGGTAACGTCTTTTTTGCATTTTTTTCAAAGTTTTGCTTGCGGAGCAGAAATTTTTGTGGGGTCTTTATAATTATTTGAGAAAAGTTAGAAAATCAGTGTGGTCGACCCAAAAAAATAAACAAAACTTTTCAAAATTCCCATCCTCAACAAAACCCTAAATCCTTGTTGTGCTGGACAAGTACTGAGTTCATCAGCTGGCTCGCGACCTCCCAGTGGCTGTCTATGAAACTAACAATGAAATTAAAGCAAGATGACCGTTTTCTTAAGTGAGCTTAAAAGAAATGAAAATTGAATTGCCGAATTGTTTCATTTGATTAATTGATATTTGGTAATTTTGCTGGAAAAATTAACTACAATTCGCAAATTGTTTAAAGATCCCTTTTTTGCACTTTACTATAAACCAGTCTTTTGCTAGAATGTTGCACCTATAACTTGTTACAAAAAAAAATTTGTTGGAAATTTTTTTAGGTTACGTTTTCTTAACGTTTCCTATTTTTGAAGAGTGCTTGGAAAAATTCTCCAAAAATAATCATTTGGTATCAAAATTCTTCTTTTGGAACATATCTCTTCTCCAAAAACTCCTAGTTTTTTGGTTTTGATGAAGCAGTTAGTGTCGATGCAATTGAGGGTTTCCAGCAAATTACGCCCAACGAAGCAGCAGAAAGTTTATGGAAAAAAAATTATTCGTAAGGCAGAGGCGCCATTGCAAAGGTGCCATCACAGAACAGAACGATGAAGAGCTTATAAAATGCGGAAGAAAGTTTTGGTATCAAAAATTGACGCAACATCAATTTTGTTTGTTTTATCTCGATCAAAAGTTTATTGTGTGTGTTTACTTGTTGTTCCGACCATTAAAAAGGGGATAGGAACTTTGTATTTGGGTGTTTTTTTTCCACGCAAAATTAAAGACCACAAAAATTCATTGGATTGGGTGGAGTGATTCAACAAATAAAAACTTCCAGTCCTGATTCGAATGACAGTAAAAATGTTCAGAAATGTTCCACCGTCGACAAAAATTGGTCTGAAAGTTTGAGTTTTGATTTCAAAAAAGTAAGGCAAGCGAGCAAAGTTAGAGTTTTTAGCGCCTTTTTGGATTAAAAAATTTAATAAAAAAATTCAAAATATTTTCTGCAAAGGAAATTAAAAACAACACGCACGAAAAACAACACTAATTTGAAAAAAAAACCACGATGAAAACTACAATAATTTTTTTTTAAATGGTCGGAACATTCTGTGCTACTTGCACAGCAACCAGCTATCCTTGTTGTCTTTTTGAAATATACAGATAACTTGCAAGTAGATTGATCTTCGACGAAATCAAGATTGTTTCACTCCAATAAAATACTGTTTTTGTCTTTTGAACAACTAATCATTGATTTTACCATGATTTTTGTGTTTAAAAAAGGAATGTTGAATGAAAATGTTCAGACTGTACTTTAAAAGAATTAAGCTTGTAAAGCGATTGGTTTCAGTTTTTTCTTGCCCCAAACCAAATGGATTGTGGCTGTTGCTTTATTTTTCTGAGAAAACACAAAACATTCACTGGTCATGGAATTTCTCAAATTTTTCAAAGTTTATGCGTGTCAATGTTTTTGCTTCTCAAGTGGTGGCTCTCATAAGTATGTTTCAGAAAGGATTCTTTTTGATCTCACTACCAGTGAAGCTCCTTTAGTTTTTGTTTGGTTTTAGGGTTTCTAGTAGTCAGTTTTTTTTATATTGCTAGTTACAAGAAAAGCAATATTTGGCTTCCGAATCTTCGTCTCATCTGCTGAAAAAAAGTTAAAAACGGATCATTTAATGTGCTAAAGTTTTGTTTGACTTCAATCAACCACAAATGAGAATAATTTACTATCGTAGTATGATGGTTAACAACTCACCACTAGATTTCCACTAGATTCTGTAAAAACAAAAAAGAGTAATTACTCGCCAGCATAATTTAAAACAATTGGTTGGAGATTACCAGACCTTGCGACATGTTTCTAATCCTTTTAAAAACGCAATAATTTTCAGACCAAAAAACTTATATTAAGAAAAGACACGCCGGCGATTTGTTGAAACAGTGTAGACAGATTGAAAAAAACTCAAAAAATAACTATTGGATTAAACAAAACAATGTGATGTGCTACACATGATATTGTCAATTAATTTCAAAGAAAGATAGAAAAAAAAATTTCGTTGAAAATTTAATCACAATATATAAGCTGTTTTATAACTATTTACCCTAAGAGTACGAATTATAATTCCCTTACTACCAAAATAGATTTTCAAAAAACATATTCTCGATCAAGATATTAACTAACAGATTTTTAACATATACTTTGAGCTGTTTATCATTTTATAAATGAGGTTTTGAATTATGTTTTCATCAATCTTAATAATTACATTAAACAACACTCTTATACTGTTTTTAGTCATCTCAGCGATTCTTTGCTTTTTGTCACTACTGTTTTGAGGACCCTTAATCTGTTAGAATGTGAGTTTTAAAAATCTGTTTTGGTTTTTGCCTACTTCAAATCATATTTTTGTGAAACACTTTGTAATATTTCTGCTAAAAGGCTAATCAGTTGTTTTAGTTTAATTTCTTTTTTGCAAGTAATTTCCGCTCACATCGTTCCTCATATACACTGTCAATTTTTCTAAGAGTTAAGCATTGTCTCCATAGAAAACCTGGTTTTTCTCTTAGTCTTCAAAAACAGTTTTGTTGGCTGTGCAGTATATAAGGGCTCCATAATCGAATACAGGCCTAACATAGGTGTAGCATATTTCAAGTAATTGTTTCCTTGTTAAAGGATTTTTTCGACAATTTGAGCTGTATGAATAAATTGACTTTTTTGAAGGCTAATGGTACTCTGTGTGGTTCCAGTGTCTGGTGTAACTGAATAAGTTTGTTTGCTGATCAACTGAGGTTGCTGTGTGTTTTCTTATGTCTAGGGTGCTAACTTTTTCAATACCGAGCGTCATTTTTAAAGTAACTAGTTTTCGTCAAATGCAGTAGTAAGCACAATGAATTGATTTGCTGTGTTAGTCAATGAGTTATTTATTAGGAATTGATTTTCTATAATGATTTGTTTCCTGAAAAGTTTGTACGGTCAGTTTCATTTACGTTAAGTGAACTAATCAAGAATTCCTGTTTGCTACCAGTCAAGACATAATTTAGACAAAAAAGCTTTTTTATCATGGATATTCAGCAGCAGACAAGTGATCGCATCAGCCAAGTTTCTGATACGAATGTGAGAGATTCTTTGTTGATGAAAGCTGTCAGTCAATCAGGTGCCTGTTTGAGTAAACTCGCAGAAAAATTGGGCAATTTACAATTTAGGTGCTACAATTTGAATGAGTAATTGAGGTTTTCTACTCTCTAAAGCCTTAAACAACCTATTCTGATCAAATTCTTTCTTTCCATCAGAAAAAAAATGCGACTGAGTTTGATGAACAACAAAATTTTGAGGAGATGAGCTTGTTCTTCTGGAATATAAAAGTCACTGAAGTTTGCCTACAAATTTTTTACGCCGCAGGTACTAAAAACGTAACTAATCATTTTGCAAACTAATTGAGCAATTTATGCATAGTTATTGGACAAGTTTTCACCGAAATTTTTCAAAAAAATAGAGCGAGTATTTTCCTTCTACTGAGTCGGATATTAAACAAGGTTTGAATTGAGCATGAGTATTTTCGATACGTGAAAAATATTTTGTGCCCAATTTTTAAACATATGCAAAAAGCTACCAACAACCTGCAGTGACTAGCAAGCAAATGTTTCCGACCACATAGGAGCCGAAACCTGAAAAAGATCTTACTTTCCTAATTTTCAAGCTTTCTCTCGTAGAAACACACGCTTTCTCTCGGTTTTTATGAAAATAAATTTGACTTAAATTCACCACAGCATCACGAAAAGTAGAAAACTGTGGTTAGATAATTATCCTACCTAAGTAAGGTTGTTATCGTTAACTTGAAAAAACCTTGGTGACAACATTTTTTTTCCAAAGTAAAAGGCATCAACCAAATATTCGATTAAAGTGTTTTACTTTCATCAAAAACGGTCTTGTTTTGCTTTTCTAAAACCAAAAAAATAGCAAATCTTATAAACTCCCAAGTAAACCATGCCAATTTTCGAAAAAAAATATCCTAAAATTTTTTTCCTGAGTACTGGCTCTTGAAAACAAAAAGTGCTTAAATTAGTTTTTTGCGCAGTAGTTCCTTCTTTTATCCGAAGACAGGCGACATTTTCAAGGTGCACCCAACTATGTTTGTTGTTCTTTTTTAGAAAAAAAATCTGATGTCAGGCAATTTCAATACTAATTGATTAACACAATATTCTCAATAGGTTGTTAGCACAGCAAGTAACAAGTGTTTTTAACTTGCAATTACAGCAACAATATGGCAGCTTTAAACAAAGTTTTGTAATTGTGGCGTCCCTGTATAGTTATTAGGAACTAATTTTTGCCAATTTCTGTCATTTTCTGTCATTCTTA